AAATGATGTTAGCACGCTAGCTTCACGCAGAGTATTAGAGCTAACTTACATCCTTTCCAAAAAGGCATTAAAACTCATCACACTTTCAGTAGGAATGACAGAACCGTTGTTATTGATTCTTAAAGCAACAGTCCAGGCAGGGTTTCAACCATTTGGTTTTCAAGTGGTGGAAACATGCCTCAGCCTGATTGGAGTTCATGGGAAATGTCACAAACTTCAAAACTTACCTCTGAAAGGCGTTGGAAGCAGTCGAAATCCTTCAAGAGGGGCGGATCCACCGATCCGTGGTGGGGCCGCCTCCAAGCAGCTGTGCAGAGCGCTTGCTCGACTAGCGGTCGTTGCGGGACCGCCGCGCTGTATGAGGTCGATTCCATAAGAACGCAATTGAAGCGCTTCAATTTCGATTGCTGGCAAATAGTTATGTATTTGCAAGCATGCATGGCTATTTGCCAGCAGTTGCAATTGGAGCGCATGTACTACGGGCAGGTTCGGACAACTCGTCCAACACACGTCTCCCTAAACGGCAGGGGGAGTCCCTGTCTAAGCCCCTGCTGCGACCGTTTTTTTTCTACTTTTTCTTTCTCCATTGACCAACTTCTCACCTGCAACGTCATTATAGGTGGTCCTTACCCGCGAATTCGTTCCTGGATTGTTGCTTTAAATGGATCCGAGTCTTGAAGGCCGTCATTTTAGCGTCATTTCGATTATTCAGCTTTTCAAAGGATTATTTGCTCGGAGGATTTCTCGGTTAGAGAACAATTGCACAGGTAGTAACTGATCCAACCAGCTGAAAATTCCCTTTCAGAATCAATGACCTTGTTGGGAAGTGTAGCTCGGAAGTTACTTTCAACGTGCTATTTTTACTTTGCAGAACCATTGGACAGTAACAGCATTATGCAGAAACGCAAAAGTCGTACAGCATCCGAGCTTTTCAATACCATTGGACAGTTCAGGTGCGTGCATTCCAGAGAGTCACCAATTGGTCATTTATCAATAAGTTTTTTCAGAAGAGGTTCCAATGTCAATTTCAACACCATCAACGGTGCAAATCAACAGGGCTTTCTCACTGACCGAAATATCAGCGGCAATACTTTGTTGGCACATTCGCCACTTCATGAGAATCAAGGCGAACGAGGGCCGCTGGCCTCTCTATTGTACAGTCAAACTGAAAGCCATGAAGTGCCTGTGGTCAGTTCTTTTTCACTCAAACATGGATCTTGTTTGCAGTGTAGGCAGTCCGCTTTTATAAGAGACACTTAAAGGCAAGATTCAGGCTTAAACTGATGAGGTAATTCTACTCAAATGTGATGTAGGGGTGGGAGGTGGACCGCCAGTGAGAAAAAGGAAAAAAATTGTGAAATACACAGGAAATACGAGCCTTTTGCTCTACGTTGCGGAGAAGTTCAAAAGGCCGGCAGGGAGATGAGAGATAATGTGAGCGCGGAGAGCGGTAGAGAAATCCGAGAAGAGAGAGCATAGCAGATCAGCATTGCGACGCAGACAAAATATCGAGCGGTGGGCGGAGCGTGTCGCATACGGGTGGGTTGTGTCAAAGTTCTTAGCGCCTAGCGTCTAAGTAAAGCTTTTCGAAGTAGGGAAGTGACGCGACCTCTTGCAGTTGCGTGTCTAGCCCTTCTAACAACCGTAGAGGCTAATTCGTGGGTTTGAGTCCGAACTTTGTCTTTGAGAAAAACTGGATTTTGAGATCATTCGTTTTCTTGGGACGTTTTTGCTTCGCGGCCATGCTGCTTAGCTTCCACAGTCTGTCTGAAAGAGGGCGCGGATATAGAGGACATGTCCTACCTTAGAGGCTGTGAGGCTATGCTTGTTTTTGCTCGTAGCTGTACATGTTTTCCTATGAGTTCTTCTACCACTCAATCAAAAATCCCAGACTTCGGCAGCTCTTAACTTTGGAAGTATCGGGAACAGTCAACCCATCCATGGGTCCGAATTTCACACGTTATTTTCCTTCTCAGCATTGTCGCAATTTGGACGCTTTCATAAGGCGCACAATGTACTTGTCGTGCGAACCAAAACGACTGGATGACATATCAAGCAGATTCAATTCTGCATCATAGCGAAGGCATAACTGCTAGTTACAGCATTCACTGGCGAAACGTGCTGAGGTTTTGGCTTCAAAACTTCATCTGGACGATGTCGCCATAGATCCGGCACCGTTCCAGCTCGTCAAAGGCACTTCTCTCTATAAGGTACTTTGAGTTTTGTCGAATGTTTCGCGTTATCACAAAATACATGATCGGAAGCAAAAGAAATCTTTCTTAGGTACATACGTTGTTTTCACTGTTGGCACTGAATCATGCCTACGTCACGGAAAAAGGACGACTTGTCGGTGTGGTTGCACTCAAAGAGGTAAGCTTTTTATTCCAGCATATTATTTATAATTTCTCTGAGCTTCACATTTCGTCAACGATTTGAGCTTGATTTCCTAGAAAAACCAGCTAGTCGCAGACTTTACATGGCGCGATATCAAGGGAAAGAAAGCGAAGGGATAGGTACAATAACCCTGAGTTCAAAGATTCCTACACTTTACGACGGCAATCTACAAAACCGTCACTTTGTTACAATTTTAAAGCACAGGAAGTGAGAGAAGGAGATCTGTGCACAAGCTGATTCGTTGCTTCTGCGTCTCCATTTCGAGCAGGCACCCTCGTGGGTGTATTGTAGGTAGTGAATTTAACCCTGAAGTTCTAAGGGCTAAGAGCCCGCCACTGGACAGCGAAACAAAGTTTTTGTGGAGCCGAAAATAAGGCCCTGTTCTTTGCAGTTGATCTCGCTCACACGAGCCTACAGCGAAGCTAAAAGCAAAGGAGTTGCGCGTCCGGACGAGTTTACCTCACTGCTGACATCATGCCAGAAATCGTACGCCTTTCGCCGTCAGTACGGCTCATACTGTTGACATCTTCCACCGTCAATCGAGCTGCCGATACCTGCCAAATTCGGCTAAGCGCAACCCATCGAGATGGCGCTTCACGTGTTCACCGATGATCTCGAATCTGTCCATTTCAATAACATCACGCCTTACAAGCTTCTTCCTGATGATAGCAGCTGCAGAAACATCAATAGTGAAAGTTAGTAAAAGTCTGCAACAGCAAAAAAACAGACTTTTACTCACTACCACCTCAGTAGTGAAAGTGAGTAAAAGTCTGCAACAGCAAAAAAACAGACTTTTACTCACTACCACCTCAGTAGTGAAAGTGAGTAAAAGTCTGCAA